TCTACCCCCCTCTGTGATAAATTCAAGGAATGTTGCCTGTCTCTTAATCTAACCCAATTGATCGACTCTCCCACTAAACCAAACAAACACCGTCCTGAAAATCCTCCATCTTAGACCTGTTTTAAAAAAATATGCCTCACAAATTCCCTGGTACAGGTGTATTCACTGACATTTTGAGTGATCATTGTGTGACAGCGACTCTCAGATATTAAACTTCCACCTTTTAAGACCAAATTAATTCAAAAAAGGGATCTGAAACGTTTTTGTGAACAGTCATTCCTCTGGGATCTGTCTCACTTTGACTGGCACCATATTCTATTAACTGATAACGTGAACTCCGCTTGGAACTATTTTCTTAATAGTTTCATTTATTTTGTGAACAAACATGCTCCTTTTCGTCAGTTCAGAATAAAGGGACGAGACAGCCCCTGGTTTACTACAGAGCTAGTTGACCTCCTGCACAGGAGAGATCATCTTTGGGCCGCAGCGAGAAAATCTGACTCAGACACTGATTGGTTGAGTTTTCGACAGATGAGGAATAAATGCACAACTGCTGTTAAAGCAGCAAAACGCAACTATTTCTTATCTCAGACCTCCAAAAATCTAAATGATGCTAAGAGATTCTGGAAAACCGTGAAATCTCTCTCAGGCAGCCCCCAATCATCTGACCTCCCATCACAACTTCTCATTAACTCTGTTCCTGTGTCAAATAAGCACGAGATCCTGAACTGTTTTAACAAACATTTTGTTGCTTCTAGTTCTTTATTTGACACAGTTACTAATGGAAAATCAGCCACTTCCCTTAATAACCAAATTTCTACAAATCAAATCCCTCCTACAAGTCAATCCTCAGTTAATCACACGTTCTCCTTTTCTCCATTCTCAGTCAGTAAGGTTAATAAACTGTTAAAAGGTCTTGATCCTAAAAAATCTGCAGGTCCCGATGAACTTCCACCTTATTTCTTAAGGCTGGCAGCTCATATCATCAGTCCCTGTGACCCAAATCTTTAATCTCTCCATAAGCCAAAACTCCATTCAGATGTTTGGAAAACAGCCTTTGTTCTTCTTTTGCTGAAGGGAGGTGACCCCATTATCGACCAATCTCTAAACTCTGCATTTTAGCCAAGGTTCTAGAAAAACTGATAAACTCTCAAATCAAAAATTACCTGGACTCATATAACATCTTACCTTGCCATCAATCTGGTTTCAGAAAACAACACAGCACAACCACTGCTTCACTGAAGGTTCTTAATGATGTTGTTGAAGCACTGGATGCTAAGGATTATTGTGCTGCACTTTTCTTAGACCTGTCTAAAGCTTTTGACACTGTGGATCATAACAGCTTGTGTCATAAGCTCTCAGAAATCGGTTTCTCAGAACACACCATTGGTTGGTTCTCTAACTATCTCTCAGACCAGAGGCAATGTGTTCAACATAATGGTACTTCCTCCAGTTATTTAACAGTCAACAATGGTGTACCACAAGGCTCAGTTGTAGGACCCACCCTCTTTACAATCTACATACGTAATGTAGGTAAAAACATCCCTGATGCATCCATACATTTCTATGCTGATGACACAGTTGTTTATTGTCGAGCTAAAACAATCGAAAAGGCTTTCAGCTTTTGAAATCTGCATTTGACATCATCCAGACAGATTTGTTCCACCTCAAACTTGTCCTAAATACTGACAAAACCAAAGGGATGCTTTTTTCAAATAGGACGTTGGTCCCAGCAGTTCTTCTTCTGATTTCATCCTCAAATCAATCAACCTTTATTTAGACAGGTAAATCCCATTGAGCCTCGAGGACTCATTTACAAGAGAGACCTGATTTCTACAAAGAAAGATGACAACAATGGACAACAGCAACAAATATAAACAATTATAAAAAGTCATACTGCAGGTTTTTTTTTGTTTTTTTTTTACAAATAGGATGGCTAAAAGGAAAAGGTATCAAAACAAAAAACAAAAAAACAGCTAGATTCTAAGGCGAATGTAGAAAACTAAAAACAGGAACATGTCAAATGGTGTCCCGATTGAGTTTGTTGATTCCTATAAATATTTGGGTATCTTGGTCGACTCGCATCTCTCTTTTAAGCTCCATGTGGAAAACTTGGTAAAGAAACTGAAAGTTAAACTGGGTTTCTTTTTCAGAAATAGATCCTGTCTAACTCTGAATGCTAGGAAACGCCTTGTATCTGTGACCTTCCTTCCCTCCATTAATTACGGTGACATTATTTACATGAACGCTCCTACAAGCACCCTGCAGATGTTGGATGCTGTCTATCATGGTGCGCTAAGATTCATAACTGGCTGTGATTATCGTACCCACCACTGCACCCAGTATTCACTGGTTAACTGGACATCATTAACTTCACGCAGACTCTCTCACTGGGACATTTTCATCTTTAAATCACTTCTTGGTCTGTTGCCTTCATACATCTCCTCTTACATGTCTCTGCGCGAGTGCAGCTACAGCGTGCGCTCTCAGGACATTATTACCTGCAGTGTTCCCTCAGTGCAGACTGAACTAGGCAAAAGGGCCTTCTCCTACTCCGCTCCTGTTTCTTGGTAGGGCATTAACAGAGTACTCGAGTAATCTACACATCAATTGCTAGGAAATCTATCGATGTTAAAAATGTAAAGTCGGGTATCCGTAGTGACGTCATATTATGTGACCACCGTATGACCATAGGGGGCAGTGTTGCACTGTTGCAGGTCACAGAGTATGGTGTATCACCGGGTCCTATCCACCGAACCATTATCGGTTTAAGTTTCGTTTTTGACATGCTGCGTTTCTTCACGTTTGCAGTTTAATAATAATAATAACTAATGGTTTATTTTTTCCTGTGACTTATTTGCAGTATGATAAATGGTAGGAGCATAATATACGCTCCCAATGTTTTGTTGGTCTTTTTTTTTTTGGTAAATAATTACCGTTTTTTGCGGTTTTATTTATTCATTTGTTTTTGTATCTTGAGATCTATGACGTCATCAAATACTCGAGTTCTACTCGGGTTTTATTATGTTAATGTCGAGTTTAAAAATTATATACTCGTTCAACCCCTATTTCTTGGAATATTTTACAAAAAGATTTGAAGCTCTCGACCTTGACCACTCTAAGTGGCTTTAAAAATCTGTTGGACTCGTGGCAGGGGCCAATGCAGACATGTTCCTGATTTTAGTTTTTTATATTCGTCTTGGAATCTAGATGTTTTTTGTTACTTTTCTAATTTTAGCCATCCTATTTGTTAAAAAAAAAGTATGCCTTTTTATAACTGTCTATTGTTGTCGCCGTTGTCCACTGTTGTCATCTTTCTTTGTTGAAATCAGGACTCTCTTGTAAATGAGTCCTCGCGTATCAATGGGATTTACCTGTCTAAATAAAGGTTGAATGAATGAATACTTCTATCCTACAAAGCTCTCAACAACCTAGCTCCATCTTATATTTGAGATTTTATTATTCCATATTTTCCTAACAAAGCACTTCATTCTCAGACTGCAGGTTTACTTGTGGTTCCTAGAGTTTCCAAAAGCAGAAAGGGAAGAAGATCTTTCACTTATCCGGCTCCTCTCTTGTGGAACCAACTTCCAGTTTCTGTCCATGAGGTTGACACATTGTCCAGTTTTAAGACTGGGCTTAAAACTTTTCTTTTTGATAAATCCTATAGTTAGGGTTGGCTTGGGTTTCCTGGGCTATCCTTAGTTCTGCTGCTATAGGCTTATACTGCTGGAGGACAAACTGACCACATTTCCTCTCTCTGTTGCTGTCTTTACTTGCTCTACTCTACCTGTTTGTATTTTTAATTTTTTTTTCTATCTTAACATATTTTTCGTCTTTCCTCCTATAAAGTACACCTGGACCTGTCATTCTCTTTTTGTCTGTTTCTACTTCCTGTCTCCTCAAACCCAGCCGGTCAAAGCAGAGGGTCGCTCGTTCCGAGCCTGGTTCTGCTGGAGGTTTCTTCGTGTTAAAGGGAGTTTTTCCTTTCCACCGTCTCCTTTGTGCTTGCTCAGGATGGGAGACTGTGATGAAGTGAAGATTCAACACAATCTGCTGCTTCCTTTGATAACTTTTCTAATTGGCTTTTATATTGTATATGAATGTTTCTCAGTGCCCTGAGACAACTTCTGTTGTGACTTGGAGCTACAGAAATATACTGAATGGAAATTGAAATTGATTGTTTAACCCCAAATGCTGCAGACCAAACTCCAACGGTGGACCAATGTTGTTTTCGGGCACCAACGGTTTTTTAAGTTTACCAGAAGCGCTCTCCAAACAGCCCATCCCAGGACTTAAACAGCAGCAGGGTACACATTATGTTTTTCTGTTGCTGTATTTATGCTAGCACTTATTGCTGTTCTCAAAATGTCACTTTGATTAGATTGTTAGAAGAAGTAGTTGTGAGATACTGTGAAGAAGATGGTTCTACTTGTTAATTTTTGACTTAACGACTTCAGTCATGAGACTGTTCCTCTGACGTTAGTCACAGTTTGACTCCTCAGAAACTCTCAGTCATGTTTAGGAATGGCTCCTCCTGTTTCTGGTGTAACTTTGGAATCTGAACTTGCCGTGTCACGTTTAGCTCACAGCCCTCCCTTCCTCGGTTTGGGTTTCCATGATCTTCCTCTCCCTCCCTTTGCAGTTTCCAAGCTGCTGCATCATGTTAACGCTCAGTCCCTCCTACTCTTCCTGCTAAAGTTTGCTGCATCATGTTTAGCCGAGTTCCTGTTGGCAATGAAAAGGCGAGCGGGGAGGAGATAAACGGTATAAAAGAGGGCGCAACAAACTGCATATCCAGAAAGCAGGAGTGGGGACAAAAAATACACTACCAATCTAGAAGGACTTCATCACAAGTGGTGAGTAAAATGTGAAACAGAGCATTTTTTAAAACATTTGTTGATCTTTTAGACTGTCTAAACCTCTTTATAGTGATCATTATAGATGATTTGTTTCTGTACAAATGCATTTCTGACAGTTTTACCTTTTTCAGGGCCACAATGGAAACAGAGAAGACTCAGACAACAACGGAGCAGATACCTGACAGGTTAGACTGGACTGCAGTGATTCTTCTTTCTAAATCTATTTTCTGCACCTTTTATGAAAAAAAAAAATTTCCAACTGTGCCAGATTAATGATTCCATGAATATGCAGGCATTTGTTCTAAAACGTGTCCAATTTAACTCCTCTTTTGTGTCAGTTTCTCTTTTAGTTGAGTAAAGCTGTAATCTCAGTGGGCATCAATCATGTTCCAGATTGTACTGAGTGAGTTGTCTTTTCTTTCAGGGACCTGTCTGAACAAATCAAAAAGGTCACCAAGGAGAGTCATGTCAGAGCAGAAAACACTAAAATGATGCTGAGCTTTCAGCGGGGACAAGTCACTCTTCCACAATATAAGGTAGGAACAACCTGCACAGCAAATAATTTTACATTTAGGTGGATTATCAGCTCCTTTCCTGACACCACCGCTGCCGGTTTCTGCTCTGCAGCTCCTTCTGTGTTCCCTGTATGAGATCTACGAGGCCTTGGAGGAAGCTCTGGACAGGAACTCCAACCATCCTGCTGTTGCTCCCATTTACTTCCCCGCTGAACTGGCCAGGCTGAAGTCCATCGAGAAGGACTTGGAGTACTTCTATGGCCAGGACTGGAGACAAAATATTGTTGTTCCTGCTGCCACTGAAAGATACTGCCACAGACTCAGACAGGTACGTTTCAAGTGCAAATGCACGAGCGCTGAAGCACTTCTTACTATCCATCAGATTTTTCTGTTCACCATTACTCATACAAAAAATATGTTAAAAATCGTGCCTCAGTCAGAATAACATGTAAATAATATGCTTTTGTTAACGCGGAGTAAAAAAATGGTGTAAAAACTGGAATTTTTTTCTCTATGATAAAACACTGCCGAAACATAAAAGCTGACGTGATCATCAGAGCTTTCTGCTACATATAATTCAGGAACATTTCCAATACGAGGTATGGTTTTTATACAGACCGTTTCTTTGAGGCTTACTTTTTGCTCTGCATTTCTATCTGCCTTTTTATTATTTGAAAGCAATAAGGTTTTTGGTTGCGTTTGGGTTAGCTTTTGCATAATATCTCATGAACTACTAGGTAATATGAAATTTGCAGAAAGTCATAGATCTACATCTACCACTGATTAAATTTTGGAGCCGACTCAAGTCAAGATGGCTGCCACAGCTAATTAAAAACAATCACTGTAAATTAGTCAATTCCTACATAAATTTAGCTTAATTTTGTGGTGGTTATAGACAAGTCATTCACAAGACATAGTCCGAGTGCTGATCATTGTGTGAGTGAGAGACCGGTGTGTGGATGTCATGGTGACGTTAATGGGCTACTAGCTGCAGCTTTAATTGATCATTTTTGGTTCTATTCATAGTTGTATAGTTTTTACTTTTTTGGTTTTGTAGAAGAACATTGGTGGATGATAAATGTTTGGGCAGCAGCTGAATTAGGAAGAAATTAAGTTAGTATTTGTCCTCTGTTGTTTTCAGATTGGCAAAGAAAACCCAGAGTTTTTACTTGCCCACGCTTACACCCGATACCTCGGCGACCTCTCTGGAGGCCAGGTCCTTGGTCGAATCGCCCAGAAGTCCATGGGGCTGAAAAGCGGCGAGGGTCTGAAATTCTTCACCTTCCCCGGAGTTTCCAGTCCCAACCTTTTCAAGCAGCTCTACCGCAGCCGGATGAACAGCGTGGAACTGACAGAGGAGGAGATGAATGGCGTGCTGGAGGAGGCTGTCAGGGCCTTCGAGTTGAACATCCAGGTGAGGTGGTGGTCGGGGTGGGGGGGGGGGGGGGGGGGGTCGTGGACCCGTTTAAAGGCGGCCAAAGTCCCTTTGCTCCGACGGACATGGAGCTGATGAGCTTTTCTGTTTTCTAGGTGTTTGAGGACTTACAGAAGATGCTGAGCGTTCCTGTAAATGCACAGCGGGATTCTTCACTAAACTCCAAATCACTTCAAGGTGGAGCACTCCAAATCCCAGGAAGCATTTCTCCTCTGCTCAGGATGGCTCTGGGAGTCTTTGTTGCCGTGGTTACCATCACCATGGGAATCTACGCACTGTAGAAACTAACTGAACGCACTTTAAAGTACTTTTGATTCCATCACTTCAGAAGCTGACCAAGAATATAGAAAATACTTGCGTAATTTTTGTGCAACTTAAACCTTAGCAAGTTTACATCGTGTAATGACTTAATTATAGTTTCCTGATCACACTGATAAGCAGAGGGTAAACGATGTGCAATATTTGAAACAATGTAAATATGTTCTTTTAAATAAAAGCTTTTATTAAAAAAACAAAACACTTTTTCATAAATTAAATGTATTTTTGGTTAGCTTTACCCAAAAGTTAGGATCCTTGCTTGTAAAAAACCCCCCAAAGTATCACGCAGAAACAAACATTTGGTATTAACTTTTATTGTGGTTTCATGACTTTCCTAAAGTTTGTGCACTTTTTGTCAAACAATATAAAT